GTCTACGCCGATAAGCTAACATGCTAACATTGCCATGCTGGGACATTCATCAACTTAGCAATGCTAATACAGAAGCTAACAATTAGCGAGTCTGGTTCAACGCCCCGTACAAACCCCACCGGGCAACCTCTCGATCGGCACACAGTCCCAGTTTTATTATAACAATATGGAAAGCAAAAAATTTTTGCTCACCTGTTCATCGGCGCCAGGACAAATGAATCGATCTAACAGTCACCCCGAAAGGCCCGCACCGAGGCCTACTCCAGCCTCGCTTTGCTGTAATCTGATCTGCAGTCGAACGTCGGGAGTCACCAAAACTGTAAGAAATACGTGTTTTAATATCGACTGAAATCAGTTGAAAACACAAAGGTTAAATAAATTGATCTGTGATAAGAAATAATTGCCATACAACACCAGAATTCCGGAGTGAGGTTTATTGCCAGCTGGATGACAACAGAAACCACACTGCCTTAAAACCAGGAAGTCACATTTTATATACAGTTCAGTCTCTTCAATGCCCGAGTCCGCCCACTGCTGGCCTACGGCTGAATCACAGGCATTCAGACAACCATACCTCAATCTAATGGTTTAAAAACGGTTCACTYATGTGTTGTCAGACTTCGGACATGTATCTACCTAATTTAGTTAACACAATTATAACAGACATTATAAAAGGTATAAAATAAGCCAAACCCTAATACTCTGGTGTTGTTATAATCAGTACTAAACTATAAATTCCTTCACTATGACAGACACATGTTTATGTTAAAGAAGAGCAGTGGAGTGAAGCAGTCCTAGGGGGTCATGTGTCATGCCCCCTTGGAAATAATTAAATAAAATCTATTCATAACTAGACATTTCCCAGTTACTTGAAGAGTACTTTACTAAATTACTTGGATTAATATATCAGGTTTTAAGCAGACAAAAATATCCAGGGCACAGGCAGGTTCAAAAATGGAAAACAAGGTCTTCAATTTAACTCAAAAGGCTTGCAGTGCGGCACGAAAACTCACATGTAAGTCCAGGAAACGGGTAACACGGAGGCAGGACACAATCAGGGCAGACTGAACAATGATCTGACAAAGACAGAAGACAAGACTCAGAAGATAAAGCAAACAAAAATGACAATGAGAAACACCCGGGGAAACAGAAGAGGAGACAGGTGAGCGAGGGCGAAGCTACAGGGCAGAGAAACATTGGGAAACAGAAAAACTGGAAAATTAAGACAAAAACACTGATCATGACATAATAAAAAAATCTAAAAACATTTCATTATCAAGGTAGGACATTGGAAACTATTATTAAATCTGAACATTACCTGATAATTATACTTAGAAATTGTATCTTTATTTTTTTTAACTGCACATGGCTGTGGGCCTATTCTCTTTCAAAAATAATGTACATCTATCTATGGAAAGGTAGACACTATGCTTCAGGGTTTTGCTGTTTCAGTTCACCATTCATAAGGTGGGCCTATTATCATTACAGTACAAATCATATTTCTATTCACAAGCAAATAAACATATTCYAATATAAATATATCTATACAAATCAAGTGGGCATAAAGTAGGCTAACTAACTTTGTCCTTTCTAACCAGTCTACAAAACRTAGTGTTAGGAAAAAATCACTAGCTTAATGAATTGTAATAGGCCTATTAATCACTCCTAGCCCAGCTAAAGCAATATGATCATTATCATCATTAATTATATAGTATTATTTTACATAGTGCATATATTTATATAAACTCCTCACAAACAATCCATACAGCTGAGAATATGGAAAATTGTGTTCCGTCATTCAGTGAGAGCTCTACCGAGCGATGCATCTGATGAGACCGGAGCTACGGTGGGTCTGTGGTGACGGATGCTCCAGTAGATTTATGTTCCAGGATGTCTGTGGATTCAAACCAAATTGTTGATAAAGACAGGATTTGATTTCTTTTTTTTAAAATCCCCAAAAGCCAAAATAATATTTAACTTTTGCATAAAGGCATACAATCATTAGTAAAATTAGAAAGGCACACTCATCTATACATGTTTTAGAGACCAAAAAGTTACTCTTTTTTGTCTGTATTATGGATTATTATGTAGTAAAGCATATTAAAAGGTCATTAATCAATAGTTGTTAGTTTGAATGTTTTGTCAGCATTAATATTATTTAGCCCCAACCACATTATTTAGGATTTATAAAACCACTTACATGTGTTATACTGTATATCTGTTGTTGGTTGATTTTAGGTGCTGACTTGTTTTAAGATTATTTAACTTTCATAATTTGTCTGAGCTGTTCTGTCCCCCTCCTCTCCTTGTCTCAATGTTTACTATTTATTTAGTTAGTTTTGGTTTGTTTGTTTTAATAAACTTGACAGGAGTGGGAGTACAGAGGAGATGGAAATTGCAGGATAAAATCATTAGACACTGCGTTTAAAAGTGGGATGAAACAGCTCCCGTTAACTTTGAACATCTACACAAACATGGGAGTGACTCATCCTTTGACTTGGAATGTCGAGCTGAATATTAAATCCTGCTTTCTGAAAGTTTGTGTTTGAACTGAAAATCAGCAATAAATATGTGGCGGATTCTCATTTGACAAGAGGAGCAAACTCAAAACATGAGGAAGGAAAACTAACCTACTTATTTGGATGTTAGGGTGAAAAAAGTTCACTCAGTTATATTTAAGGAATTTAGCATCTGAAATGTAAGCTTTAAGAAGTTTTACTGAATTTCTCCTTTCATCTTGAATTAAAATGAAGTTGTATATATACTTTGAAAATACATGAGCACTGAAGCACCATTTTGTTTTTTGTGCCCTATTTTTCCACTTGTGTCACTATTTTTAACTTACTTTTCCCCCCTCAATTGTTTATCAAAAACAAAATACTTGTGGCTTGAATAAAACAGAGTGTGCCCTGACTTTTGGTAGCAGTGCATTGTATGGTGTAGGGAGCAGGGATGGACAGTCCTGGTTCTTGAGATCCACTATCCTGCATGTTTTATTTATTCCTCTGCTCAAACACACCTGATTCAGTGATAGAATTACCTGTTCCAGTTCTGTAGAAGCCTACTAATCAGGTGGGTTGGAGCAGGGAGACAAGTAAATCATGCAGGTTAGCAGCCCTCAAGAAGCAGGATTGTCCATCGCTGGTGTAGGGTCTGTGGAAGCACAGTGGTCAGTGAAACGGTCTTGTAATCTTGAGGATGCACGCTATTTTGGCAAAATAATCAAAAAAGCTGAGCTTCTTTAGCTTTTTTAACTCTTCTTAATTAATTCAAGGTCTAAAAGAGTCACAGAAAGTTGGAATCGTTCTCACAGAATCAGCATTTTAATCTTTTAAAAGTTTCTAGCAGTTTAGGCTTTATGAAATTTACAACAAAAGTGTGCATAATTATTGATTTATTGATAAGCAAACAGTCGCTATAAGTGTGAGTGAGAGAGTGAAAGACTGCCGGTTAATACGACACAAATCCCATTTTTTTTTGCCCTGTGTGTTCTGTATCAGATGTTTTTATGAATGTGACAAATCTGATATTTTCAAATCTGATCCAGGCCTTTTCAGTATGTGCTACTGAATCGGATACATATTTGATGTTTTTCAAAGCGACTACAGTCTGAAGTCTCATGTCACAATCCATCTGATTTTTACATCTGTGAGGTGGGGGTGAGCGAATCAGTCTCATAATAATACTAACCTCAAGTCATGTAGTTTAAATCTTGTAGCTGCACACATCCTCAGCTACAGAACAGAAATCCAGTTGCTTTTTTCTTTGTTCTTTTCATTTTCCATATCCTGCATGACTGAAAATTGTGTACACATTTTCTTTACATTGCTCAATTTACTTTAGTTTAGTGCAGTGGTTCCCAAACTTTTTATCTTCTGACCCACAAAATATCCATGGCAAAAACTTTATATTTTTTAAATATTACTGGTCTGAGTACACAAACTTTGTTAATAACCCTGAAAACAAAGGCTACACAAATATAAATACTTATTTATATTTATTTTGTGTTTTTGTAATAATTATAGGGAAAATATTACATCACTAATTATATATTACCCTTTAAATTGATTTCTGAAGGGAACTAGTTTAGTTAAGTAAATTCAATCCTTCTTTCAGGATGTGTGTAAAAGTATTTTACTGTCCTGATTATTGTAAGCAGTTTTATGACTTTTGCTTAAGTATTTTTTTGTATCAGTGAAATCAATTTTTACAGTCATTTTYTGTTAAGGAATTTTTACTTAGTTGTTTATGTTATGTACTTTATATATAAATGTGATTAAAATGTAAGCATTTTTATCTTCTTTCACTCATTGTGGCTCTCACTGTTATAAAGCCTGTAGCTTCTCCTCAAATCCCCAGTGAACACATCCAACYCTCTTTTCGATTATCAGTGTATTAGAGCTCAGATTTGTCTTTTCAAAAGTGGAAGTGAATGGTCGTTTTAACTTGTCACATATCCTGTATGAAACACAGGAGACACATACAAATGAYACTATTCTTTTGTCACTTACAGTTAAGTAATACATTTTGCACAGTGAYGGTTTTAGAGGCTAAGTTTCTTCCTGTCCCTGGTGCGTGGTTACCACAATGACCCTAATAAGCCTTGTTTCACAATTTTATGAATCATCATACAAACAAGTGGTCAGCTAGGAAGTATTTTTTATTGTAGTTCATTTTATCATTTGATTCAGCGAGAATGTTTTTTTTTTTTGTGTGTGTTTGTTTTGTTTTGTTTTTTGTTTTTCACAGAGAAGTCCGTGAAACCTCCCTGGGATTTTTGGCTCCTCTGCTGTCAGAGCTTTCTTAACCTTGAATCTCTTGTGTCCACAGTTCCAGCCAACATCTACAAGGTGTCAGAAGATATCACTGTGAATGAGGGCAGCAACGTGACGCTCAGCTGTTTGGCAACCGGCAGGCCGGACCCCATGATCACCTGGCGGCTGCTCAACCCCTCAGGTGAAACTCATGCAATCAGTGCTCATTATTTTCTGAGTGTGGAAGGCTGCCAGGAGGTGCGCCAGAATATAGCACACAATTTTCAAACAAAAATATAAACGCTTCTAAACATAAGCATTAATAATTACATTTATTTCACCAACATAATCTCAACACAGAGACAAGTCATCAGTCAATCTTTATGTCAGACATTTTTGTCACGACAATGAGAGGATATTTATTGTGCTTTGATGATGAAAATCTCAGGTTAAGTTAAAGGCACAGTGTGTAGGATTTTGTCAATTCTTTTAGTCAAAATTGAGATAATAACTAAAGACAATAATAAAAAACATGTCTAATCATTGCAGACAAAGACCTTGTTTTATTATTTTTACCTTATAAAAGCTGTTTATATCTCCATGGTCGCGGGTCGCCACTACAGGCAGCCGCCATCTTGCACCGCCATCTTGTCTACGAAGGCTCATGAAGGCCAAACTGCAGTGGCGGCATCAAAAACGGTTTTAGTTGTAATACTATAAATGTAATATTGTCTGTCATTGTAGCTGGGATAATTTTACTTCTTAAAGCTCATAATCTTACCACTTGAAACATCACTAGCCCTGAAGCTGCTGGTAGACATCACGGTTGGAATTATCAAAGGTTTTTGACACCTGAGAGACACCGTAGCAACTCCTTTGTGTTTGGAAGCGGGGGTTGGGGGTGGGGGGAGGACCAGGGAGGATGATTCAACCACTCAACCACTAGATGTCGCTGAAAACAACAAATCCTACACACTGTGCCTTTAAGGCTAAGTTAAAATCAAAACCAGTCCTTTTGATCCTTACTGATAAACAATATTCTGAGATTTGAAATAAGTCTTCATTCTGAGTTCATCTCACAGCAAAGACAATTGCATTCAATTAAAAAAGATAAAAACATTTTGTCAGTATTTTTAGGACTGGGTAGCCTGTTAGGTGTGGTCATGTCCCCTTCTTCAAATATGTAATTTCCAGAAATGTAGTCAGTTCTGAAGATACTTTTAGATACTGGGGGACCAGAGAGATCTGGTGTTCTAAGAATTTGGTTCAGGCCTAAGGTTGTGGTAAACACTGCATGCGCAAAAAAATTACTCAAATTTGAATCGGTTTTCTGTGTGTATAATTCAGGCTCGTACTATGAACACAACAATTTCCTTCAGTCATTTCAACCAAATTTGACTTAATCCACAGTTTTATGTGATGGGTCACATATTGGTAGTTTTCCAGGCCCCTACACTTTTTGGTTAATTTGTCTAACAACTAATAAATAACTACTGTAACTGTGAAATGGTGAAATACACATCTCACCCATACTATCAAAGCCAGTGCAGTGAAAACGTTGTTGCAGTTCTCCATTTATACACGTTCCTCAAATGTTGGTGATGTTTTTGCTTTGCCATTTAATCCCATTTCAGATAAAAGATACATGCTGCTGATAAGTGTGAAGTGTGATCGATCGAGAAGCTCAAGTTGACAAAATCCCAGATTTGATGAGAGATTTGTGCCGACGGAACGTCGTCTTTATCTGTCTGTTTATCGATCGCTTCATCACATTGTCAGCACTCCAGGCGTGTCTCATCAAACACATCTGTTTGCTGCACCTGGAGGCAGAACAAATTGGATAGGTGTGTTAGCCTCTTTTGCATACTTGCTTTAAAGTGAGCCAATTTGTTCTGACTGAATCTACGAGCCATATGGATGTGACCGTCTGCTTTGAAGAGCTGTTGCGAAGGCTGAAAGTCCTCAAGGTTCAAATGTCTCTGAAAAGAAAAGAAAAGCAGAGCACCTTGTTACATTTTGACAGCATTTATTCAAAGAGAATGAACAGAAATGTGTTCAGACTGATGGGGAGAGCAATATTTGACTCACAATAGTTGTGCCTTAATTGCCTTGCAGCTGCAAGATTTATGCTTTYTTGAGGTACCTTTTCTTTTTGTTCATTTTCTTTATGGTTTAGTGAGGGACTAGTGGAAATGCTGCTTCTACATACTTTGTTCTTTACTAAAACAAAGAGGAAGACAGAAAATCTCGTCAATATTCTGGATTGAATCTTTTTTCTGTGTGTCTACACAGGTGCATAGAGCTCCAGAGACAGGAGCAACACGTAATTTAAAACCACCAACGCCTTTATTATTTTTGTTGTTTTGTTCTGTGAGTCCTTCTCCACAGAATACTTGAGTTTGATACAACTCATGAGTGTGTAAGGGAGTGCTGGGGGAGATAATGATGTCTGGCAGCCGGTAGCCTCACCTCTTCACACCTTCGCCTTCCTGGTGGTGATGCTGCTTTGCATTGCTAGGAAGACTTACCTTTCTGCTGGGATCACAGATGTTCATGAGACACAGAATCCAATTTTAAATAAAAAGTTCTCTTTATTTGAAGTCTTTGCTCTGCAGTTTAAGAATCATGTCTCAAATTATCTAAAAGTATTTCTATTTTAGCACAATGTTGTTTTATATTATTCCATTCTTACAATCTTTACATTGAAGCTGTGTTTCAGTCATCATTTCATGTCTGTTTTAAGAAACACTGAGCTGATTTTTTTTAATCATAGCTAAGAATGACCAAAAAGAAAAACAAGTATTGTCACAACTTATTATTCAACATCTGTAGACATACAGTGAGGTGCAAAAGTTTGGGCAGCCTGGTTAAATTTCCTGATTTTTCCTTTATAAATCGATTGTTTGGATAAAAAAATCTGTAAGGGACAAACACAGTGAAATCTGAGAAGTAAAATTAAGTAGATATAATTTACGGAAAGTGTGCAATAATTGGTTAAATAAAATTAGGCATGTGCATAAATTTGGGCACCAAAAAAAAAAAAAACTTAACTCATTATTTAGTAGCTCCTCCTTTCACAGAAATAACAGCCTCTAAACACTTCCTACAGCTTCTAATGAGAGTCTGGATTGTGGCTGAAGGTATTTTAGACCATTCTYSTTTACAAAACATCTCTAGTTCATTCAGGTTTGATGGTTTCTGAGCATGGACAGCTCTCTTTAAGTGACACCACAGATTTCCAATAATATTCAGGTCTGTAGACTGAGATGGTCATTCCAGAACGTTGTACTTGTTCTTCTGCATGAATACCTCAGCAGATTTTGAGCAGTGTTTAGGGTGGTTGTCTTGTTGGAAGATGCAGCCCCGGCTTCAGCAGCTTCAGCTTTGTCACTGATTCCTGGACATTGTTCTCCAGAATCTGCTGAAATTGATTGGAATCCATGCGTCCCTCAACTTTAACAAGATTCCCAGTCCCTGTACTGGCCACACAGCCACACAGCATGATGGAACCACCCCCACATTTTACTGTAGGTAGCAGGTGTTTTTCTTGGAGTGCTGTATTCTTTTCCCTCCATGCATAACGACCCTTGTTCTGCCCAAATAACTCTATTTTAGTTTCATCAGTCCACAGCACCTTATTCCAAAATGAAGCTGGCTTGTCCAAATGTGCTTTAGCATACCTCAAGCAGCTCTTGTTTGTGATGTGGGTGGAGAAAAGGCTCCCTTTGCATCACTCTCCCATACAGCATCTCCTTGTGTAAAGTGTGCTGAATAGATGAATGATGCACAGTGACTCCACCAGCAGCAAGATGGTTTTTGGTGCTGGTCTGTGGGTTGACTCTGACTGTTCTCAACATCCTTTGCTTCTGTTTATTGGATATTTTTCACTTGTCAAATATTTGGGGATGGCCAATCAGGGTTGGCACTTGCCACTCCGGCCACCTTTCTGGATCCGCCCCTGAAGCTTCAATTTCAAAAGAAAATAGAGCAAGAAAAGGGCTATGGACACTCGATTAAATAACCTTACTGAGTAATTTAAATAGCATTAAAGGGCATTCAGTCCCTATTCAAGCAGTGCAAGAGTTGGTTTGAATTAAGTCAGACCCCTTCAGGGTGGGAGTTGGACTCTGCCAAGGGTGTCGGTTGTCACCGATTCTGTTCATGGCTTTTATGGACAGAATTTCTCAGTGCAGCTAGGGAGCAGAGGGAGTCCGGTTCAGTGGCCTTAAGATTCCATCTCTGCTGTTGGCAGATGATGGGATCCTGTTGTTGGCATCATCAAACCGTGATCTTCAGCTCTCACTGGAGAARTTCACAGCCAATGTGTGAAGCGGTCGGAATGAGGATCAGCACTTCCAAATCTCTCATGGCCATGGTCCTCAGTCGAAAAAGTGTGATTTGCTCTCTCCAGGTTCAGGTTGGGGGTGAGGTTGTACCTCAAGAGGAGTTCAAGTATCTTGGGGTTTTGTTCATGAGTGAGGAAAGAATGAAGCATGACATTGATAGACAGAGTGGTGCAGCTTCTGCTGTATTACAAACTCTGTACTTGTCTGTTTTGGCGAAGAGGGAGCTGAGCTGTWTAAGACAAAGCTTTCTGTTTACAGGTTGGTCCACATTCCTAACCTCACCTAAGGTCATGAACTTTGGATAGTGACCAAAAGAAGCAAGTCACAGATACAAGCTTTTGAAATTTGCTTTTTTCTGCAGGGTAGTTGGACTCTCCCTTAGAAATAGGATGAGAAGTTCGGTTAAGGCCCAGGAAATGCTGGAGAGACTGTCTCTCGACTGAAAGAGGTGGCTGAGAAAAGAGAGGTCTGGGCTTCCCTGCTCAAGCTGCTGCCCCCATGACCCGATGTGAAATAAGCAAAAGATAATGGATGGATGGATGGATGGATGGATTTTGTTTAAGTCAAGATACATGTATTTCATTAGACTTGAAACTTTTTTCAGTCTTTAAAATAAGACTTTTTGTTTTAAAATTAATCTTGTTAAAACCTTACTGTAACAATCACAGGTTCCAGCTACTGTTGTTTTCTGGGTCAGAAGCTGAATACTTTGGAAAATTTTGTTGTAGAAATCAGGAAAAACACTGTAATACAACTCTGTTCTGGTTTCTCCTTCATTTATAAGCTAGAGTATATTTGATAGCCCACGTAATGTCAGTCAAGCCCACTTACATAAATAT